TTTTTTTTTTTTTTTTTTTTTTTTTTTTTAATTTTGAATTTTTTAAATTTAATTGTTATTTTTTATTTTTTTAGGTGAATAAATAATTTTTTACTACTTAATTCTATCATTATTCATTTATCTTAATTAATCAATCTATCATGATGTCTCTTTTTATTTTTTTTTATTTCTTTTAGATGTAATATAAGAAAACACATGAATTGTCTCCAAATATTAAATTTAAAGAAAAAAGACTAAAAAGTATAGTTATTTTGAAAAAATATGTAATTATTACACAGAGTGTTTTACAAAACTTATAAATATTTGTTTTAAAAATAAAATTATTTTTTCATAAATTTAAAAATTTATTGAAAGTAAAATTAAAAATTGACTTTGAAAATAGTTTTTAAGTAAGTTTTTTTTTAAACAAATTAGATGTGTAGCTTTTTAAATACCCAAATTAACCAAATTATAATGAAAAATTTAATCTATAGCAATTTTGGTTAATTCTGAATACCAACTCAAATTAAATTGGATGTTTTCGATTAATTAGAACTAATTTTTTCTAAATAAAAAGGGGGTTCAATTAAATAAGAGGTATTTGATTAACTGAACTTGTCCATTAACCAGGCATTTTAGTTTGGTTAACCGAACCAAACATCCACTCCTAGCCATATCAACCATTAGACTTAGGCACCAGACTTTATAGGTAAGTGGGTTGGTATACCCAATGTTTTAACCAGTACTAATGTTTGAACCACGGTAATGCCATGGTAAAATCCCCCAGCCCCCTACCCCAAATTAAAATTTTTGCCAACGGAAAAAAAGAGACTAAACTTGGATGCTATATATTCATAATGGAAAATAATTTACAGATTATTTTTTATATAATTTTTTATACAATCTTATATATTATTTAATAATTTATTTTTTTATTTAAAAATTAACTTATAATTTAATATAAACTTATCCATTCAATAACATATAAAAATTATATAAAAAATTGTATGAAAATATTGTCACCATATTATTATCCTCTCATATATTGTTATTAAGTACTGTGCTTAGACTTTTTACACATGAAGAAATAAATAATTTTCTTAGATGTAATTACAATTTACAATAGTATAATGTGACAAAATTTTATTATTATTATTTTTGAATTATTTACTTTAAACTTACCAATTGCATTAATAGAACTTGTATTGTAGATTTAAACAAAAGGGAAATGGTACATACATATGTATCACAGTGTAGGTATCGGGTTGCATTAACCCGATAAACATGGAAGTACTAAACTAGAGAAACTGGTATAAACCATGCGTATAAGAGTAAAAAGCAATCATTTAAAACTTGGTTAGATAACTGATCAATTTTGGCCACTGGGTTCGTTTCAATCAATTGAGTTGGTTAAATTGGTATGTTCAACTAGTTGACTTAATAACTATTATTAAATTAATTTTATTAATGATAAAATTATTTTTATCTTAATTGATTTTA